CAAATTAGACGCATTTGAATCTTGTTTAGTGCAAGACACGGAAGGCAGCTTAGTAGCGAGTGATAATGAAGGTTGTGAAATCATGGAAGTTGAAGAGGACACGGAAGGAAAAGAACTTATATGGAATGACAATCAAATCATGGAAGAAATCAAGAAAGTAATGAAGGACGATCCAAGAGTCAAAGAAATAATTCAACTGTGCACTGATATGCCGAAATCACATCACTTAGAAGGATACACTATCCAACAAGAGCTTCTTCATTTCCGTGACCGAGTGGTGGTACCAAACAATGCTGACGTGAAATTTCAAATTCTTAGATCAAGACACGACAGCCTGGTAACAGGACATCCTGGCAGATCCCGAACGTTGGCGCTAGTTAAAAGAACCTACCAGTGGCCGTCAATGAAGGCGTATGTCAACAAGTATGTCGATGGCTGCCAGTCATGTCAGAGAACCAAATCTAGGACAACGAAACCACTAGGAACGCTGCAGCCACTACCAATACCGGAGGGTCCTTGGACCGATGTCTGCTATGATTTGATAACAGACCTACCCGAATCAGAAGGTAGTGACTCCATCTTGACAGTGGTTGATAGACTGACGAAAATGGCGCATTTCATCAATTGCAAGAAATCAATGACATCTGAAGAATTAGCGACGTTAATGATCCAGCATGTATGGAAGCTACACGGCACTCCTCGAACGATAACGTCAGACAGAGGAAGTGTGTTCATCTCAACTATCACGAGACAAATCAATATGAAATTAGGCATCAAGACACAGTCATCGACCGCGTATCATCCGCAAACTGACGGACAATCCGAGATAACCAACAAAGCTGTAGAACAATATATCACGCACTTCGCAAGTTATATGCAAGACAACTGGGTATCACTATTGCCGACCGCAGAATTCGCTTATAATAATAACTTCCACGTATCCATAGGAATGTCTCCCTTCAGAGCTAACTATGGTTTTGATGCGAATTTCACAGGACTACCATCAGCAGAACAGTGTGTACCAGCAGTGGAAAGGCGACTTGAACAGATCAAAGAAGTGCAAGATGAACTGAAGTGTGCGATGGAAGAGGCGCAAGAATCAATGAAAACTCAATTCAACAAGAAGGTTAATGCAACACCCAAATGGAAAATAAATGACAAGGTCTGGTTGAATAGTAAGCACATATCAACGACACGTCCCACCGCCAAATTCTCTCACCGATGGTTAGGACCATTCTCAATAGAGAGCCAAGTGTCTACTAATGCATATAGATTAAAATTACCAGATTTGATGAAATTGGTACACCCAGTATTTCATGTATGTCTATTACGCAAATTCAACGAAAGTCAAATTGAGAACCAAATCACAGTACCTCAACCGCCTGTAATCATTCAAAATGAAGAAGAATATGAAGTTCAAGAAATATTAGATAAGAGGAAAAGATCAGGAAAAATTGAGTATTTAATTAGTTGGAAAGGGTATACTCCTGAACACGATTCCTGGGAACCTGAATCAGGACTCACGAATGCTCAAGACCTAGTAATAGAATTCAATCAGAAATACCCTTCAAGAGAATTTAAACACAAGAGGACACGGAAAGTAAAGAGAGGATGAAGCTTTTTCCCTACGGGGTTTTTTAATGCCAATCCAGGGAAGATGTTAGACCCAGCAAGAGGGGGTTGGAACATAAAGGGGGAGTGGTGTTATGAGCCTATAAGGCAATTATGCTTGTATGCTAATAGTGAGATCTCACTCTACTTGAGACTCACGGATCAGAGTTTTTACATCTCTACGTTGCAATCTCATAATAGTACCAAGGCACCTTTCATCTAGTCCCTTGATCACACCACCGAGGTCCTAATACACGGCATTGAATTGGCATGCAGGTTCCCTACGGTGATAGGACTCGATTGCACATATAAGACAAATCGATTCAATCTTCCCCTTCTTCATATTGTAGGCACCACAAACACTCACAAAACATTCACAATCGCACTGTGCTTCATGCACAGCAAAGTCAAAGAACGGTACGTGTGGGCACTGGAACAACTGAAGTCTATTGTATTCGACGGAAATTCCGAGCACAGTCCGTTTCCACTGCCGAAAACCTTTTGCACAGATGCCGAGACCGTGTTGTTCAACGCAATTGGAAAAGTTTTTCCTGCTTCAACACACATCTTGTGTATATGGCATATAAATCATAATATTGCCAAACACTGTAAGAAGAAGATCAGCATCATAGCCAGTGCTTACAATTGGCCAATAATACTTTTGGATCCGCGAAAGGGATGCTCCAGCACATTCTTCCCTTATCGAACCCTCCCAAACGACTCCAACAAAGATCCAATAGTACTTGCTTTAGTGAAGCAAAATCATACTGTGGTCAATCAAGACCATTTTGTGAGTGTGGGGTTCAAAGAACCCCGGTCCATGCCGTTTCCGGAGGTTTTTGGCATGCATTGCAACGCGGACGTGTTTGAAACCACTACTATCCCTTCCTGGAGCGTGCAGTATCAAGATCAATTGGCTAGGTGGGTTCAATGATGTAGCTGGAAATTATCGTCATTTGTTGTGGTTTTTGTTTTGTTTGTATATTATCACGCTGTTTACGGCTCACTCTTACTCTTATGTCTCACTCTCCCTCACTATCTGTTGTAGCACTTCTTGTGTATGTAACCTATCAGTAACGTATCACATAATTTGTGATGTGATTGTTCTACTTTTGAAATC